TGGGGATTTAGGGACTTACGGTTTAGGGTTTAGGGCTTAGGGTTGAGGGTTTAGGGGTTTAGGGTTTGGGGTTGAAGGTTTAGGGTTGAGGGTTTAGGGCTTAGGGTTGAGGGTTTAGGGGTTTAGGGTTTGGGGTTTAGGGTTTAGGGGTTTGGGTTTATGGGTTTAGGGGTTTAGGGTTACACCATCTGCTTGACTTTTTAAAGGATCATGACCTGCTATTTTGCCGGGCTTGGAGCCACAGGCAAGCATGTGACTTTTACAAGGCCACTGTAGGGTGTTTTGCCAAGGGTCGTCTTTCGATTTAAAGCAGGCTTTGTACAGTATGATGTTGTCACTAACTAAGGTTTCGTAGGGCTCGATATGGGGGCTTGTTCGCTAAGATCAAGATAAAGTTGAAGGTTGTCGGGGTGCACTGTACTACGACTAAACAGGACCTACTTAAGGGCATCTACACTACTAAACCCTAGGCCCTGATCCATACACCAGACCGGAAGCTCGAGACTCGAGACCCTGCATCCTAAGCCCTGCCTAGACCTGGATTGTACTATCTCTTATTGGTTTAATTTCTCGCTGTAAGATCTTTTATGCTGAAGAACGCCTTTTGCCTTGGCAGTGGAAATCAAGCAAACGCCTCCCAAGAGTTCTTTTCGAAGCAGGAAGAAGTGCAGTGGAGACTTCCGTTCGTAAGGGGGCACTCCACTCGTGGAACTCTGAAGCGGATTCCCAACGCAGGTCAAGCTTGGACAGCGGTGCGCTCTGAAGGGCCGCGGCTGCCAAGTAGCTGCTCTGAGACCAATGGCACCAACAAAGTTCAGCAAAATTTCTGGAAGATCCAGAACACAAACTCCAGGCATTCTGTGTTTGGCCTTCTCTCGCACAACGAAAAACTGCTTCCAGAAAGCTGCCCCACCGTAAACCTGAAGACTCGACTACACCCTAAAAGCCCCAATGCCTAAACCCTAAACCCCCAAACCCCAAAACCTAAACCCTAAACCCTAAATCCCTGAACCCTAAATCCGAACCCCCCAATCTCCAAGCACAAAATTCTAGTTGCAACCCCTGAAGTCTAAACTCCAAATCCTACGCACAAACTGTGATTCAATCCTAACGCCTTAATATAGGGGCCTCAATAATGTTAATAGGGTTTTGGGGTGCACTATACAAAAATAACAATCAGGAACCCCCAAAATAGTATTGGTAATTATTAAGGCCCCTATATTAACCCCAAGCCGTGAAGACTCAACCCTCAACTACTAGAAGCCCTAGACCGTAAGCTTTTCGTTGGGCTTGCTCACTGTCCAAATTTTAGGGCTTAGGGTTTGGGGTTTAGGGTTTAGGGTTGACAACATTACACAATCCCCAACCACCTACTCAACTACGTGAGATTAGGGCCCGTTCGGTATAGGGGCTACCATCAGAGTCCACGAGTGGCTTAGAGGTTGGAGTTTAGGGTTGAGGGTTTGGGGCTCGTCTTTAGCGTTCGAAATTTCAGCTTTTAGGGCTTGGGGCTGTAGGGGCGGACAAGTCACCTAGACCTGGTAAAAGCAGCTGCTTCCATGTTCTTGCGTCTGACCTGACATTGCCGCTGCCTGGACTGCTAAACGAGTGCTACATTGCCAGCAGAACCCGATACTCTTAGTTAGGTTTTGTTCCAAAATTCATTTAATTGAATAGCTTCTTAGTGTCATAAGAGGTATTCCTGAAATAGGGGGTTACTGGTCTCCCTCGGAGGTCTGCACGGAATACGAAGGGATATACGAGTGCCAATGGGTGTGACTCGGATATTGCTTGAAGTTACTCTTGGCGCAAGATGACTGCGGAGGTACTTGGTTCCACCCCGTAGAATTTCCTGCTAGTTTGTCGCAGCTCAAACACCCCCTATTAACTACACCCAATATGCCAATCCTGAGACAATCAGACCCCAAGACCAGAAAAACCTACCTGTACTTTAGACCCTACACTGAAAAAACCTATAAACCCTAATTCCTGTTCGACCCTTGTCACATCTATAGACCCTAAACCCTAAACCCTAAAGCCCTAACCCCTCAACCCTCCACTCCGATCCGGAGGCCTGCACTGCGTAATCTCAGGCCGTCCGTAAAGGTTCAGCTGCAACTTTACCGGAGCGAAGGCATCTAGCCTCGGACTTTGTTGAGGGTTGTTGGTTTAGGGTTTACGGTTTAGGGTTTAGGGTTTAGGGCTTAGGGTTCAGGGTTTAGTTAGGGTTTAGGGTTTAGGGCTTCGGGGCCCAGAGGTTTAGGGGTTTAGGGCTTAGGGTTTAGGGCCTAGGGTTTAGGGGCTTAGGGTTTAGCGGATGGTAAGGGCCTCTGTATCACCTGCTCTTAGAGGGCCTCGATTGCGTTTTTTACATCATGGTGGTTTAGGTGTTTAGGTACTTAAGGATTAAGGCGTTTATGCATGGCCAAGGAACGCAATTTATCCCATAATTGAACACTCTACTATGGGGGCCTTAATAATTAGAACAGGGTTTGGGGGTCAATTACACTGCAATATGATGAGGGTATTGGCAAGCATGAAGGCCCCGATATTGCTTCGGGTCTTACTGGGCCTCCGATTTTTCGGCTGACACGTCATTCAGAGAGCCGCTCACCTGAAGACCTGAAGCTTGTTGGAGTAATCGAGGGGCCTGAATATAGGGTTGATGATATAAGTCTTGCATCACCCATAATACGGAATATACCATAGTTCGCACAGCTTAGGGTCCTTAAGGTAATGCAGGGTTTAGATCATCAACAGTAGTAAACCCCCAAAGTTGGAAACCGGATGAAGGACAAATAGTGCTGGGATTCCCCAGCTTGAAGCTATTGGGTTCCCAACAAGTAGGGGCTTCTACTATCACTACATATACGATCTGCATTGTCACAGTGTCACATTGACATTAGGATTGCACTAGTATCTGTGGTGGCAACTAAAAAGTACTCCTTGGGACACTAATTTCCGGGCGCAGGTGGAGTTTAAATATAAGGATCCAAGTCCGCTTCAGGCTAACAGTTGATGTGAGGCGTTGGGGTCGTGATCAGAAAGGGAGTAGCAAGTGCGATATGCGGGGTCAAAACCCCAAACTCTAAAACCCAAACTCAAGCCCTAAACCCTCAACCCAAAACCCTAAAACACTAACCCTAAACCCCAAACCCTAAACCCAAAACCCAAAACCCTAAGCCCTAAACCCCAAACCCCAAACCCTAAGCTAGCAACCACAAAGCCTCAGAGAAGACGAACAGACCCCTACACCCTGACCCTGGCAGCGTGCAGCTTCCGAGACTTACCCGAGACCCCGCCAGAAGCCCAAAATCCTAAACCCTAATGTAAAGGCCTTAAGATCCAGAACAGGGTGTTGGTGAATAGGTAATGATTACCCTAGACCCTGAACCCTAAACCCTAAACCCCATACTTGGAGGATCCTGGGACTTAGTAAGTAAGGTTATAAGTCCTTTCATTGGGGTTATAAGTATA